CCCTGGCCACGCCCCTCGCCCGGCCACGCCCCCACCTCTGCTCGGCGCGCAGGGCCTCGGCGTGCTGCTGGTTCTCGCGCCGCCAGAGCTGCAGCTCCAGGCGCATGGCGTCCGCGTCCTCCTGCAGGTAGTCCATGATCTTGCCCAGGGGCAGCGCGCTCCGGCACAGCGTCTGGATGGACGCACGCAGCTTCTCTATCTCCTTGGAAACGACGTCCTTCTCCTTCTTCCACGCGGGCTCCACGGCCAGGGGCTTCTGCGTGGGCGGGGAACACGCGAGAAACGTCCTGTCCCCGGGCGGGAGGCAGGGGCGCGGGGGCGGCGCCGAGGGCACGGGCACCGTGAGGCGGGTGCGCAAGGCCGGGGCCCTTCTCAGGGGGCGGGGTCCCCCAGGAGGCCCCCAGGCCCATTTCCAGATGGTGGGACTTTACCAGCCAGCTGACCAGAGCCCGGCTGCAGTCGTGGCTGCAGACGCTGCGGGGCAGGGTTTTCCTAAAGGCGGCGACGGGCCCTGACCCGCGTCTCCGGCACCACCTCCCCGCAGCTCCGGGGAGGGAGGAAAGGAGCCTGCCGGCGGGAACGGCCCGGCGCCGGGGACAGAGAAGGCCGGGCCGCGGAGGGCAGCCAAGAGCACCGGGCTGCAGCACTTAGAGGAAGCTGACCCGGAGGAGGGGGAGTCAGCTGCCCGGTTCAGAACCCACCGCCCAGCTCCAGCCACAGGACAGGGCGGCGTGGGCAAGACACACACCCCTGGGGCAGGACAGAGAACCCAGACAGGGACTCAAGATGTGCCCGCTGATGTCTGACCAAGTACCGAGGCAATTCCACAGGGAGCAGGGGCTTTCAGCACTCGGCACCCAGGGCGGCCAGCGGAGAAAGAGCCTGGACCACAGTCTCGGGCCTCACACAAAACCCAGCTCACAGTGGACTGTGGGCTTTCAGAGAAAATGAAAACTGTCAACCTCAGGAGACAATCTCTGGGATCCAGGGCCAGGCAGAGTTCTCCGAATCGACACCCAAGCTCGGAGAAACTGGTAACGTGGACTCCGTGAAAGCAAAACCTTTGTTATGCAACAGACAGGTGAAAGAGGACAGGTCCTATTTTCAAACCATGTGTCTGAAAGGACCAGCATCTGGAACGTGCAATTCTCAAAACTCAACAGCACAAAAGCAAGCTATCCAATCAGGAAATGGACAAAACACATGAACAGATATTTCACCAAAGAGGATACACTGGTAGCAGATAAGCCCATGACAAGATGCTCAACATCATTAGCTATTCGGAAATTGCAAATTAAAACCACACCTCTCAGAGTGGCCAAAACAAAGAGCAGTGACACCACCAGGTGCTGGTGATGCAGAGAACCTGGTCCCTCGTGTGGCTGGTGGGCATGTAAGTGGCGCAGCTGCTCTGGAAACAGTTGGCTGCTGCTGTTTTTTTAAAATATATCTTTATTGATTTCAGAGAGAGGAAAGAAGGGAGAGAGAGAGAGAAACAGCAATGATGAGAGAGTCATTGATTGGCTGCCTAGCCCGCACAACCCGGGCATGTGCCCTGACCGGGAATCGAACCCCGATCGCCTGGATCCTAGGTC